ACTCTTTCCTTCATGCTGACAACTGCCTCTTGTTTTCCCTGCTTTTCTCTGACATCCAACTGTTTGAAAACCATTTGTGTGGATTAGAATTTCCCTGGGGTATTACTTTCTTCCCTGACCTTGAATTTTCAGTTGAAGTGCAGTGTCAGCTGATCCGGGGTGATGCCATACCTAGAACCACCCTAAGTGTGGCCTGATTTCCTGCAGGCCAGGCAGAGATATTGGCGCTGTCCTTTGATTTAGAGGGGTTTAGACAGATAGGAGTGAATATGCCTGACTCAGTTTGTTCCTGTGACCAGTCTGTCTCCTCAGCACTGTCTCAGGAAGACAAAAGGCCAGGGTGACAGTAGACTTTAATGAGAGAAAAATCTGAATTCAATAAGAGTAGAGGGTTCTGTTAGGTGTCAGTGCAGCAGAACTGCTCAGACAAGCATTTGTCTATTCAGATGCCACTGAAGTAAAGGATAATGTTGGGTTTACCCACCTACCTCTTATACTGTATATTACTGCCAGCCAGCTTGTCTAATGTAAATGATCAAAACTCTCAACATGCAGTCCACCTTTGACCTAAATGAATATACTCTGTCTTAATTTCTTAGCTTTAATAACACGTATAGACTTGACTATATCCCAGATTGTGGTGTGTCACAGTCCTCCTTTCTTGGCAGGATTATATGAGCTAGGATTTGGAAGAAATGACTTTTTACATCTGGGAAAGGGTGGAACCAGTAGCAAAGTGAAGCTCTGCTTCAGACTTTACAGTTTCAGTGTGTGATTTGTAAAGGTTTTGCAGCAAGCCATTAATAATGGCCAAAGCAGTTATTTAAAATCAGTAAGCTTTTGTTTGAGTACCCTGCAGTAAGAAAACACCTGAGCAAACAGTGTCATGGTTTTTCTAGGTTTAGCTTCAACCTTCAGGTATTTTATTTGCTCGTCTTTCAGGGCAGCTCAGAAGCTGAATCTCTCCTCCAAGCGGAAGAAGCACCAACCCTCACAGCTCCACCCACAGGAGCCCTCCATCTACCCCACCAACTTCAGCGGCATACTGCAGGTCTCACCACCCCCTGCCCCGCCATGCCTGCTCCGAGCCGTGTCCAAAGTGAAGGAGAACCCAGGGATAGGAAAGGTAAGAACAGACGCATACTGTAGCAGCATATACACAAAGGACTCAAAGATGAATGTGTGATTTTAATCTATCTGAAGGTGAGATCAAAGAGTGATGACATAGTGGTCCACTACATGCAGACGCAGTAGACCTTCCTTCTGGAAGGTCATGAATTCACTGTTTATGAGACCAGCATTCCTCTCCCCGAACTTAGAAAGGCAGTAAAAACTATAATCCACAAAGCTGTGGTCATGTTAACTGTAGGATTTGTAATTCTATTTTGGGTACAGTGTGTGATGATGAAAGTCAGGCTGGCAGCAATAGAACAGTCATTAAACAAAGCTGTGTAAACATATCGCTCTTCCTTTGTGGTTTATTGGCTATTGTTTGCCTGAGCTAGTGTCCTGTATTTATAAAGCAGAAGAAGTCCCCTAACAACATTAGATCCCACCTGGATAGGAAGTACTTGCTTTTGTTGCCAGGTATCCAGACGGGTAAGATTTTGTCACATATTGTAAATTTCCCATTGGCACATAAAAAAAACTGTTATTAACAAGCCCACACCTGAGGTAGTGATTTTGTACATCTGTGCTATTACAGTACAGGGGTTGGATTGTAAAGGGGAAACTGAGATTAATGAAATTTTTCCAAACCTATCAGATCAGATTTTCAGGTTTTCTTACTCTAAAGCAAACACACATTGACTTGCTTTCTTTGTTTCTTTGTCTGTGTGTCAGTTTTGGAATCTCCGTTGTAATAACATTTTCAAAAGCCTGCATGGGTTTGACTTTACCTAGGTCTGTTTCATATTAATCCAACTTGGGTGATGTCTTGTTTCCATCAACCGTATGTGGGTCACTTCCACTTCTCCATGTTTGACCTAGACCTGGTTCTTTTCAGGCACAGACAGTTAAGTGGATGGAGGAACGCCAAGCTACACTAATGGATTTTATGGGGGGGATCAAGGGGACAGAGAAACAGGGGCCATTAGCACAGAGTCCGATGTGTGAAAAAACTGCAGCCAATCCTCTGTAGCTTCCAGTATCTGATCTTCGCCAATATAAATAAAACTGAGACATCAGCTCGCCTCTGCCTGGCAGATGGAGACTCAGCAGTCATATGTGGGAGCCTGGTTTAAATGTCATAGCAAATGGTATTTACTCAACATATGCACACGTCAGTCACAGTAAGTGCCCCCTGTGGAGTATAAGGAGAGTTTGCACTTGGTCTGTGGAATTCACTCACTGAAAGAAAGGGATTTCCAGTGACATTGTTTCAGAGTGCTGGAGCCTGGATCTGCAATATTTATATATGAGTGAAGGGGCCTTTTGTGTAGGGGTGAGGATGGTGGAGAGTCCCAGGCTAAACAAAACAGTCATCTGTCAAAAAGGGAAGGGAGTTAGCTATATTTTAAGGTGTTTATTTCAGTGCCTGAGAGGCATCGCAGGTACTTTTTCAAGAAGCTTTGAAATGGCTCAGGACTGAATTCCCTATCGCATATACTGCAAGATATAGAAGCTGTTTGGTTGATATAATGCTAGGTGTAACACTAAACACTCAGAGAGTTGACAGGGATTCTGGCGACTGTTATACATATCCCAAGAGCCATTTATGTCTCCCATCAGTCACATATATGTTTCCACAGAGCCTTCGGGAAAATAGCAGAGGTGTATTTCTGACCATCAGACTGTAAAGCAATATAGAGTTGTCAGAATTTCAAAAGAACGTGATTGTAAATGGGGGTGTCATATAGCCTGCCATGCACAAACACAACCACACCCACACAAACCATACAGTGCATCCATACAGCAGGGCACAGGCAGTTGTTCGTACTGTAAGAGGTGCCACAAAGTGGCTTCACTGCTGTAACTATGACAATAATGTTAGATGTTAAGCTTGTCAGAACAGTGGTAAATCAGCACCTTTAGATATACACTGTCATCCTACTGTATTGTCCATGATGAACTGTACAATGACTTGTGGAATGTGTTAAGACTGTAAAGGTCAAAGTGTTTATTTGTCATATGCACAGTTAGGAAACGTGTTCCCCTGTACAATGAAATTCTTACTTTGCCGTCCACATGAATGCCACAAAATACAAATGAAATATAAAGTAGATGAAAGCTCAAGTTATGAATAATGTCAAGCCCCAGAATACAACATGGTTCCAAGCTTCTTGATGTGAAGCTGCCAGGGGGAAGGAGAGGAGGAGGAAGAGTGAGTAGATGGAATAAGAGGGGGGCCATATGCTCCTGCACCCCCATGCTGGCGAGCTGTTCCTGCTCCATAAAAACAACCCGCTAGAGGGATAATCCCCCAGCATGCGGCTTCACACACATTAATTTTCACCATTTTCTGCTATGACTTTCAATATACACCTTTTACTGACACCATTAGTCAGTGTGTTGACCCATTGAGTTTGCCAGTCAATGTGGGATTGAGTTTCCATGGCAACCTTCAGTGTCCATCAATTCTGACATGGTGAACGTGATGTCAATTCACAATGGTCAGCCTTGCTCTTAGACTGGAGCCTCATACTCAGAAGGTCGACCATACATTTCTTCTTTTTCCTTTGTTTGTGCTGTGGAAGGAAAAGGTGTCAAGCTTAGCCCATATTTGTTTTCATCCTCAGTGCTTGACCTGAAAAACACATTCCTACATCTCTCTGCTGAGTTCTTCGACCAATTGTCCGTGTTTTATGCCATCTTGATTTTTAATCCATCCTTTTGTTTGTCTCTTTTTTGTCTCAACTCATCTGTCACACTCGGTGGTCTAGGTGAAAGTGATGATGCGTATCTGTCCATCTCTGGAGGCAGTGGACTCCTCAGAGTCTCAGTCCTTCTTGAAAGTGGACAGCAGGAAGAAGCAGTTGACCCTTTATGACCCTGCATCCAGCCCACACTCCAGTTCAGGACACAGGAGATCTGCCACTGTGGCCGTTCCAAAGATATTTGCCTTCGATGCTGTTTTTCCCCAGGATGCCTCACAAGTAAGGGCCAGTATGTGTGCTTTTGTGTGTATGTATGTGGTGCTGTGTGTGGGGGGGGTTCAGCTTCTCAAGGGCAAAGCAATGTTTCTCTGCTGGCAGGGTGTGGCCAGGGGCTTAGAGAAAAATGCCTGTCTTGGGTTAGGGGACATTTTTACCAGCAAGGTTCTAACAGCTGGGACCTTTAAGCCCTCTGGGGAATGATTTGAATTCACTGCAGTTATATCTCACCTCTCCTTTCATAGAACAGCTATATCTAACCTCAGTTCTCTGCACTCAGCAAGCACACCCACTGAGCTCAAAAACAAAGGTCAGATAGATACCGTACGTATTGTATTTACTACATGGTGACTTGGGAGCAGGCTGGTTTTGCTTTCTTCACTGTGTAAAACAAACACACCTTTTTTGTTATGAAAAGGAGATTTATATCAGTCATTGAAACATTTTCTAAAATCCAGAGGTCAAATATTTGATGCATTTGTCCACGGTGCCCCAAACACTATTAATACCTACAGGAGGTTGTCATCACTGTGCAGGATGGTGTTTCAGCAGTGGACAGAGCCTCAGTTCTTCTATTATCCCACCTACTTGAAGCAAGTATTTTCCCCATATAAGCTGCTGATAGCTAAAGCCTGCAGTATGTTGCTGCTGCAGAGCTGAGGCCAAGCTGCTAGATTGTGCCGCTGGGACGGCGCTGCTGGTGGCTAACAGTAACAGCAAGCTGTTCTGCTGTTGGAGGCCTTGTTTGCTGTGTGATGTATGGGAAGGGGCCTCTGCTGCAGAAGGCTTACCCCAGAGGACCCATGCTGAAACAGATTGCAAAAATGAGCCACACGTTGCAGCACACACAAACACATATAAACACGCAGAATCCACAGTGATGAAAAATGCTGAATGCATTAATGGGATTTGATGTAACTGATGTCAAATAATTGTTTATTTTATAGGATAGCATTTTGGATTCACTGTTCACTGTGTACCTGTTTTATAGTAGGTGGGGCTGAGTTGTGGCTGTCTCTGTGTGTTTTCCACAGGCTGAGGTGTGCTCAGGGACAGTAGCTGAGGTCATCCAGTCTGTGGTGAATGGTGCAGACGGCTGCATCTTCTGCTTCGGCCAAGTCAGGCTTGGTAAGCTCCTCCGCTGGCAAGGGATTAGACAAAAGCCTTTGTTAGCCAAAGAAAACCTCTCATTGCTCTTTGTTAGCTACACTGGATGTCCACAATTGGCTTAGTGGTGCACTGGAGTGAGTGAAGGAACTGGAGATTGGAGGAAAGGAATGGGTAGTGGGTCTGGGGTGGGGATGAGGGGTAAAGTACTGTATCCAGGCTTCAGGGCTCAGTCTATAATTAAAATCTTAGTAATTGGCCTGGCCAGCGCTCCTCATTCCTATGAGAAGTAATTCTCCACAGAAGGACTACTTCTGGAATACGTCCTCGGATTAGCATTGATTTTTATTTGGTATGTACTGGATATTACCTCTGAACCCCCACATCAGCCATTATTAATTTTTTTCATCAGCAATTCTTAAACACAATAACCCCCAGAAAATATCCAGTCAGTGTCTATTCCTTTGTCAACTTCCTTCCCATTCCAGACAGCCTGATAAAATAAGTAATTTAAGTTTGAACGCACAGTGAGTGTAGCTGGCTTCAAGACACAAGGCAATAATTCCGTTTCCATCCCCCTCTCTCTTTCACACATCCTCAGGCAAGACATACACTATGATAGGCAAAGACAGCTCTACTCAGAGCCTAGGCATTGTACCCTGTGCCATTTCCTGGCTCTTCAAGCTTATCAATGAGCGCAAGGAGAAGACGGGCACACGCTTCTCTGTCCGTGTGTCTGCGGTGGAAATCTTTGGGAAAGATGAAGAACTGAAGGATTTGCTATCTGAGGTGTCAGCAGGCAGCCTGCAGGAAGGCCAGTCCCCAGGCATACACCTGAGAGAGGATCCCATCTGTGGCACTCAGGTGAGAAGCATTCTCTCCATTTATTGTTGAGTGATCTCTTCATTCTCTCTATGGATTATAAAGTCTGAGTTTGGATTCTTTTCTCTCTATCATCTACTCCTCTCCTCCCAAAGATGTTTTTTTTTTAGTCTCCCAGGACTTCCTAGTCCCTCTTGCACTATCCTATCTGCATCTGAAACCCTTTTATATTTCTACCAAACCTATCTGTGGTATTGATGGCTTTCTTCTACCTTTGTATTGACTTTCCTGTCAGCATCCATCAGCATCTATTACCCTTGTATTAGTGCTAGCTCTCTCCAGCACAATAGAAGTATTATTGGGGGATGGTGCAGGATTGCAGATTTGAAGGCACTCACAGGTGTTGCTGTCAGATGTTGTTTTTTGGGGACTCTGACTTCAAAGCCTGTGCAGTTCTGTGAAGCTACTTTGTCGTCCTCTCAGCAGCCATGCATGTGCCCCTTCATGGATTCCCCTGGCTTCTCTCTCTCTGGTCTGCCTCCTCCTTTTCCCTCCTGTTGCTACCATCATCATCATATGCATGGTGAAGGACATACCCTTGCCTCCTGCACCAACAATTACTTCTCCTAATCCTCCTCCCTCTCTGAGCATATCTACTGTTTTAATTGCCCCTGAGACCCAATCTAATGGGCAAGAAATGTGTGCTGGTGTCCAATTAACTGGCTTCCCCTTCTTTCTTTTCCTCTCTTTTCCGGTATCCTTTTCACAGCTCTCCCCATTTTCAAGCACTACATGGTCTCCTTTGCTCATCCTAATCCTGTTCTCTGTCTCTTCCTTCCTCCTTCAGCTTCAGAATCAGAGCGAGCTTCGCGCCCTGACAGCTGAGAAAGCTGCCTTCTTCCTGGATGCAGCCATTGCCGCACGCAGCACCAGCAGGCCCAGTGCAGATGAGGAAGAGCGACGCAACTCCCACATGCTGTTCACATTGCACATTTACCAGTACCGCATGGAGAAGAGTGGCAAGGGAGGAAGTTAGTACTATTACATCCACAACTCTCCAACCGTGAACTTACAAGTCATCGCCACACAGTTACAGAGTGAAGCATCTGTGTACAACCAGATCGATGCATGATTAGTATATTTCCTTTCCTACTTATAGGCATACAAAAGTCTTTCACACTAAATAATCATAAGGTGGTTTTGTTGTGAGCTAGATGGCAGAACATTGCATTATAGGTATGAAGGGAACATCAGACAAGTCCCTGATTTGCAGTGTTTATAGATGAGTTGGTTCTGGCTTCTGCAAGACAAAAATATATTTGTATGTAAGTGCTATGCTTTGGTCAAGAGCAAATGAATATTTGAAAGCTTACTGACAAGAGTTGTATGTTTTGTCACCCACATAATGTGTAGTCATGTGATTTTCACAGTGAGTCAGTTTGCTCTTGCTACATTTTAGAGCATTAGAAGGAGACTGGATATGTCTTTGTGACTGTCAGTGGATCCCTTTGTTTTTATGGCACTCACTAATGCAGCCTCCTTGTTACCAGGTGTTACACATCTGGTGGAAGTTAACTAGTCTGGCTGCAGTTTGAGTCGGAATCTTACCTATAAATGGATCAGAGAGCTCTGACAATCACTGGCCTAGTCTGGGCTGAGCTGTGCCACTCCTGTCATCAGGGCATAGTGTGTGAGGAGCTGACTTTCCAGAAGGAGTGTCTGCGCTGTGCACTCACCTGGTTCTTCCTCTGTTATTGGCACAGTGTCAGGCGGACGAAGCAGGCTGCACCTCATTGACCTGGGGAGCTGTGAGAAGGTCCTGAGTAAAAGCAGAGAAGGAGGAGGAGGCTTGTGTCTTTCTCTAAATGCTTTGGGAAATGTCATCATGGCTTTAGCAAATGGTGCCAAACATGTACCTTACAGGTAAGAAAACCACCATCAGTTACTCTCTTTTACTGTTTCAGGCAAGTTGCTACCTGTGCCCTCAGTACTGCAGGTTTGCTGTGTGACTGTTACGTTTAGTTTAATTATCCACATAACAGCTTTAGTAAGTCATAGATAAATAAATCATACGCTGTGAGTATTTTTAAGCTTACTGAATTCCATATGGCTCCTCCTGGAATTATGCCATATACCTTTACTGCCATTTTGAAATATTAGTTTGTTAATATCAATATACATGTGCCCTGTAGGGACAGCAAACTGACAATGTTGTTGAGGGAGTCCCTTGGCAACATCAACTGCAGAACCACCATGATCGCCCACATCTCTGATTCCTCTGCCAGCTATGCTGACTCACTCACCACTATCCAATTGGCATCCCGCATCCACCGCATGAGGAAGAAGAAATCTAAGGTACACTGATAAACTGATGAGTACAAATAAATATGGTTATATGTAAACAGTAATGAACTGATAAACAAGTAATGCAGTCAGCAGTAATGGTTCATTTTTACAATGTAACTACACAGACATTTCACAGCTTGAAATAAAAATACTTAATAATGATTCCTATAAAAACTCTGCTCCATTCAGTGTTGTTTGTTGTTTCTAACAGATAAATGCAGAGCAGTTGTTAGGCACATTATTTTTAAGTGTTGCTGTTATAGCAATTACATTCCTAATGTGCATGTGCAACTTTGATTACATCCATAATCCATGCCATGACTTAAACGCCCTAAATGTTTCTTTCTACTGTAATTTTGGAGCTCTTAAACACATGAATGTTTGAATGCTTCTGCAAACGAAAAATTATTAGTGCAGTAACTCAGAGCTAGTTTTTCTTGACTGCTCAACACGTGCAATCAATATCTCCCTAAGGAACTGCGCATTCCCTTGGATTAGAAATGTATGCTCCAGATAATTAGGCAGAACGACAGCGTGTATTTATTTTGTACTGGTCCCAGGCATGATCATGATGCAGCACACATACAGCAATTGATATTATTGATAATAATTTCTGTGTGACTATTGATTTGTACTTTTAACCTTTAGATAAATATTGGCTGTATATTTCATTATGAGCTGTTAAGAAATGAATCTATATTATCAGGGTTAAATGATTGTGCAAAATGACAAGTTTGGTAATTTATGTTTTAAGAAGACAATCACATTACTGTCAGATCATTTTTAAAAAACACACTAGAATTGTTTCATTTCTGCTTTAACCCTGCTTAGCAGTATGCATCAAGCTCATCTGGAGGGGAAAGCTCCTGTGAGGAAGGGAGGATTCGTCGGCCCCCCCACCTCAGGCCCTTCCATCCTCGGACAGTAGCCCTGGACCCAGATCTTCCCTCCCTGCTCAGTGACCCAGACTACTCCTCGAGCAGCGAGCAGTCCTGTGATACTGTCATTTATGTGGGCCCTGGGGGAACTGCGATCTCGGACAGGGAGCTTAGTGACAATGAAGGCCCACCTGCCTTTGTTCCAATCATCCCCTCCCTGAACAAGAAAAAGTCTGCAAAAGAGGGCCCTCTAGACAGAGACCACTTCTTCAAATGCAACACATTTGCTGAGCTGCAGGAGAGGCTAGAGTGTATAGATGGCAGTGAAGAACCCACTGCCTTTGTTGGAGAGGGAAAGCGAAGCCAGGCTAGCCCTAAGACTGACAAATCTAACGAGAGCCAAGGCTCTGTTTCACCAAAGACTGTAACAAATATTTCAGAGGGCATCTCACCTAAACAATCTCCTAAAACTCTTGCCATGCAATCATCCTGCAGTCCCAACACTAAATTCAAACTGGACAACATCAAGAGACAATGCCTACCCGCAGAAAGGGCACCATCAGAGAGTGTTCAAAATGTATACAGAACCAGTGCTGATGGTGAGAAGGTCTTGGTTTCAGAAACTCGGGCTACTACTAACAAAATGGCAACCACTGCAGCACCAAACTCTGAGCCTGTGGTAAGAGAGAAGGTCTGCTTCAACAAGAAAGCCTTGCCAAAGCCAGCTCCACCTCCTTCACAGCAGAGAGAAAATGCAGATAGTGAAGAAAGATCTAGCACCAGAATGCCACCTGTGGGCATGAGCCACCAAGCTGTGAAAAGGAAGGATCCATGTACTTCCCCTTTGCTCAGACCTCCAGTGGAGATGTGCCAGGTACGCTCTACAATGAATGAAAGGTGCCTGGATCGGGACATTCTTAGAGCCACTGTCACTTTGCAGCAGCCTGTGGAGCTGAATGGAGAGGATGAGCTGGTGTTCACTGTAGTGGAGGAGCTGTCTATAGGCAGTATTGTAGATAAGGGTCGGCCATCCAGCATTATCAGCTTTAACAGTGACTGCTCCCTTCAGGCCCTGGCCTCTGGTTCCCGACCTGTCAGCATAATCAGCAGCATCAATGATGAGTTTGATGCCTACACATCAGCCGTGGGAGGATCAGAGGTGAACATTGCAGTTGCCACACCCCTCCAGGAAGGAGCAATGGAGTGTATAGATAGCAGGGGTTCATCTATCAGCTCTTGGCTAAGTGAGGTTAGTGTCTGCACTTTGCAGAGTGAAGGGGCTCATTCTACTGATGTCTTCCTTCCACAGGCCAAACACATGGGACCAGAGGCCAGCTTTTACTTTGATTCTCTGGATATGTTACATTGTGTATCCTCTCCTAGAGATGCCAAGAACTCCTTAAATGACAGTGGATTTAGTTTTTCTGAACAAGACAGTGACAGTGCCACCTCAAGCAAACTGTCCTTGACAAAGTGCCCCCCATCTTCAGAATCCACCAAAGGCTCCCTCCGATTCACATCTAAAATAACTAAAGCTCATTCGCTTAGTTCCTCTCAACTCCCACAAGGCCCTTCCATAGTCCACTCCAGTCTTCCCAGGAAGATTAAACCTACCTCATCTATTTCTCATAGTAGTAGCAGTAGCAGCAGCACTAGTAGAGAGCCACCAAGACAAGAGGCAAAGCAGGAGGATCCTTGGCAGCGTATTGACAACCACTCAGAACCTCAGTTTGCTGACTCCAGCAGCACCAGCAAATTTCTTAGACATCCCCCCAGTGGCATCCCTTCCAGCAAAACATCTAACAACAGCAACAGTGTACCTCGCCCTCCCAAGGTGCAGGGGTCTACCTCATCTCAGAGGGTGGTTGATGGCTGTGAGAAGTCAGCCAGTAAGAATACACCCAGCAAAATGCCTCAGTTGAGACGAGGTGCCACCACCCTGGGAACAGTGCCCGTCATCCATTCCTCCACAGACTACAAGGGAGCCCAAGATATTACAGCAACTACTACGGGCCTTAAATTCTCCTCTCTGGGGAAAAATAGCAAGGCTAACTCACAGAAAATGAGTAATATCCCTAAACCTGGTTGTACCTCGCCGCCTCCTCCTCCTCCAATGAGGAAGTCCAGTCTTGACCATAAGACTAAGACCCTGTTACCCCAAAGTGCCTTAAAGCCACCATATGTGGAGGCAGGAAGGGCCTCTGGATCAAGGACAGCTGTATCAGAGGATGAGCTTGAGGTACGTCACAGAGTAGACTCTACCAGTTTCAAAACCTCCAGCCTCAACCCAGCCAAAAATACTTCCAGCCTGAAGGCCAGAGGACCTAAAGGAGAGGCTGCACACCATTTTGGCAGTCAGGTGTCACTGGAAAGATGTGAAAGCCTATCCTTATTAGGTTCCAGAGCTGCACTTAGTAGGGAAAATAGTGGGGCAAGTCTGGGGAGCAGCAGTGGCAAATCCAGCAAATCCATTCCGAGATTTGGTATTCCTAATTCATCCAGCTCTCCTATAGCTACTTGCCCATCATCACCAAATGGAGGAAATATTAGCAAACTTGGCCAAGTAAAAACATCTGTAAATCCCAGACCCTTAGGAACAGTCAGTGGGAGTAAGGCACGCTCACTGTCAGCCAACAACTCCAAGGGCCTAAGCTCCTCCACCAAATCTTTGGCCACTCCTGTGACCAGAAATGCAAACGCCAACCTCCCTCCATCAGGACGGACATCAGCTCCTCGAACGACCACTGCTACTAGCAGTAAGCCTGGCAGAGGAACCATCATGGGCACAAAGCAGGCCATGAGAGCGGCCAACAGCCGTGTAAGCGAACTGGCAACAGGCAACATATCAGGCAAACACATGAGAGTATCAGGAGATTCAGACAGTGGGAATGACAGTGGGGCAAATGTGAGTGATGACAAATCCCCCATAGCTGCGCTGCCCTCTCCATACAGCAAAATAACAGCACCCAGGCGGCCTCAACGCTACAGCAGCGGCCATGGCAGTGACAATAGCAGTGTGCTGAGCGGGGAGTTGCCTCCAGCTATGGGCCGCACAGCTCTGTTCTACCACAGTGGTTGCAGCAGCGGATATGAAAGCATGATCCGTGACAGTGAAGCCACGGGCAGCGCATCCTCTGCTCACGATTCCATGAGCGAGAGTGGCATGTCATCTTCAAGCAGAACAAGGAGCCCCAAGTATCCCAAAAAGAGAGCAAATGGTGAGGAGCTAATCTGGGTTTTGGGGTTTTGCATGTAGCAATGCATGTATAGGTGGTGTTCACAAATAATATGAAAATACAATTTCATACTGGTAACAGCAGAGTATGTGAGACCTATTAAACACTGCTTGCCTGAGAAACTACACACATGGGAATAGCATCAAGAAATGAATGTGTTCTCCCAGGAAATTAGGCAATTATAAATCCATTCTTATTACATTCACAAATTGATATTTTAGTGGATTTTCTCTCCCCCTGAATCAACAGCATACATTATTTATACACAAATGATAATGGATGTTTCAAACAAGACAACTTCAAAGTGTGATAATTAAATAAGATTAACATGAACATGTCATCTGGTTCTGGGTTTTGTAGCCTTGTATATACAATATAACCATCAGAATTCATGTGCATTAAACCAAGCTTTTGAATTTATTCAGGCTGTGGATATGCAGAATATTGTTGTAACTCATGAATCCCTTATAAATATGCAAGCACCACAACTTGACTGGCCTGTGTACAGCCTTGCATGGCTTTACATCTCAGAAATTTGTACATATTTACTCTTAGATTCCATCAAATACTACAACTATATGTCAAATACATCACTGTCTGGCTGTATGCATGACTCTGTAGGCTTCCAGAGAAGACGGCTGATTCCGGCACCCCTGCCAGACACCTCTTCCCTGGGGAAGAAGGCGGGCTCAGCGGGTCAGTGGGTGGACTTACCTCCTATGTCTGGACCGCTTAAGGAACCCTTTGAGATCAAGGTGTATGAGATCGATGATGTGGAACGGCTCCAGAGGCGGCGACAGGAGGAAACCACAGAGGTGAGCAGAGGGTCACTCCTGACATGTTCTACATGGCTCATCTTTCTTAACTTGTTTTAGATAATGTAATGTCTGGGTCAAGGTCTTGGCAATCCCACTTGCTAAGCCTCAGGACTATTTTGCATGTGTGACACTTATGCCATACATGCTCAAGATGTGCCACACTGACCTATGTTGTGGGAATGTCTTAGCTTGCTTCTTCCCAGTTTCTTTTTAAAGAACAAGGCAGGAATCATATGTCTCAGACATCTGACCTTCAATCAGCTCAGTGGCAAATCCCAGAGTTAAAATGTCTCTGCAAATTCCTAGACCTTAGTATTTCTGCAGCACTCAGGAATGTCAAGAGCTCAGGAGGCAATTACTTATGAGGGTTAATTGGTTTGGATATGTATGATGACTTTGAATACTGCTGGCTCTAGTGGTAGTGATGGGGG